TTTTAATGTGTCGTGTTTCACATCCAAAATGCAAAAAATTTACATAAATTTTTACAAATAAATTAATATTTATTACAAGAAAATTATCATATAATAATATACATTTTATAGTGATACAAAATTTGTTACTAATTTTTTTTACTTACACAATAAATACAATATATGTTAATATATTGTTAAAAAATGTGAATATAAGATATAATAACATACATAATATGTTGTTAAATCTCATTTAAAATTAATATTAAAATTATATGTAAGCTATATTTTAAATAAATATATACTTACATATAATGACATATATGGACGATCCAAATAATTTTCCATATATGGGTATATTTCTATATTTATATACTTACATATATGGACGATCCAAATAATTTTCAACAATGCCCTTAATTTCCTCTATAACTTTTATACATTTTTTTTCTTTTGTGTAAAATGGTCATACTGAAGTTCAAACATATAGCCTCATCATTTCAATCTGGCCGATTCTAATGATTCATAACTTATATATAACGATTAATAATAAAATAACAAATAAATGAATGGTTAAAATATTTTTTGTGCATTATTTAATATTGTTTAGGAATATATTAATCACAATTAATTACAACTTTTGTTTTTTACACGAACAATTAATTACTAGTTATTTACTTGCTAATTACCTGTATATAACTGGTGTGTAAAATTAGCATACAATTATATTTTCGAAATATAAATTGACAAAAGTGGTAACAATTTATGCTTTTTTAATTAAGTTATTCAAAATTTAAATTACAATTTTAAATATGAAATAAATAATGTTGAAAAAGAATGTTTACTTTATGTATTTTATAATTCCTAATAAATAAATTAATCAAATATTTTGTATCAACATGGTTATAGAAAAAAAAATAAAAATAAAAAACTCCCATAATTTCTAGAGGGCACATTTTAAAGTGTGTGGCATTCCATTATCATATTCTGGTTGAATAACTGCCCGAGTCCTAACCTAATTGGTGAAATGAAAAACACTAATTCTCGATACATATCTTCAGGGTTGATCCAAAATCTTACTTTTTCTTAATTAATTCTACCTAAAGATAAAGAAACTACCCTGGCTTTTCTATTAAAGGAATCATCAAGTTTGAATTGGAACACATTAAAAGTGACAAAAATCTTAATGTATCACTTGAAATTTGTACTTAATTGATTGAGGAATAAGGTATAGGTACGTTCATCTATCTTTATACAATTTAGGATTATGCGATTCGATAGAGATCTAGAGGAACAAGGTGCAATCTAACTTTATGTTTGTATTTACACGTAATAACGAAGTCTGGGACATGCAGTTATAGATAATCCCCTAAATATGTTGATAAAATGCTCGAATGCGTGTGGAAAAAAACTTAATTAAAAGAGATAAATATCATTGTAAATTAAAAGACGATTTTAATAGATGTAAAAATGACCTCGTCCACCATTAACTTCAATGATCAATCTCAAAACTCCAAGAATCATATTCATTTCTGCTCTACACTAATCCATATTTTGGGGTAGAATATGCTTCATAATCTTGGATGGGATTTTTATGAAGTCAAGTCACATTCGAGTATGGTTACAAGGATTCTCATCACAATGTCATAATAGAAGTTAATGGGAATTGAGATTAAAGTAAGTGAGTGTATTAGATTAAAATTTTATAATTGTTTTAAGTATAAAAATGTTTTTGTAAATTTTAAAAAATTTTGTACGAATTAAACAATTTTAAATTTTTTTTAAAAGACTTTATAAAAATATAATAACTTTTAAGATTTTTTTAAAAGACTTTTTAATCAAAATTTTGTAATATGAATTTTAATGAATTTGTATTTTAAGAATTTATAATATTTGAAAGGTTTTTGTTAGATTTCAAAAAATAATATAAATTTTTTAAAAAGACAATATAATTAATAAAAATAATATAAATGTATTTGAATAAAGAAAATAAAATTAATAATCTTTTTTAAGTTTTTCATAAACAGTTGTTTCTGATTTCATATCCTTTTGAGTAATTTTTCTCTATATATAGTTCTTTGTGCATTTATATTTTCATTCATACTATTGAATTTAAATAATGTTCAAATTTATGATATTTATTAACCTGTAAAATTGTCAAAATATATTTTAAATTTGATATTTGAATATTACATTTTATTGAAAAGAAACATTTGTTAAACTTTAATAATTAAATTTTTTTTAACAATATATAATATTTAATAGATCAATTTTTTTAAAAATATTTAATAATTAAAAAATATTGATAAATTATACATCAATATTGACAAATAAAAATATGAGAAGAGAGATAGAAGAAAGAGAAAGAAAAAAAGATGTTTGAGAAATCTAGAGAAGAAAATGAAAGAGAAATAAGAAAAGGCATGAGAGGAAAAAAAAAAAAGAAATAAAAGAAAAATCATGCGAAATTTTAATAATTTTGGTGAAATTATTAGATGAATAAATTCTATATAAATTATACTAAAAAGTCTCATAAAAAAATAATCTATCAAAATTTCTGTTTTTGAATATCAAACATTTTTTAAGTGAATTTTTTTTTAATTGAATACCATTAAATTTTGATGTGCTCTTAAAAAATTTCAATTATCTTAATAAATATTATTAAATTTTGATTTATTTTTAAAAAATGATAATTATCTTAATTAAATATTATATAATTTTTTTAAATTAAATACTACAATTTTTTTATAATACAAAAACCTTTTAAAGTTTTTTGAAATTTTAACCCAATTACGATGGATACATTGTATCTATTGTGTTTATCTTATATGGTTGGTTTTTATTTTTTATTTGTTTGGGTAGTGTTATTTGCCCAAGTGCATGGACAACATGTGATTACTTGTGCATTCTTTGGAATATATATTTTTCTATGATGGATTGGTGATGTATTATTTATCATGCTGTGTGTGGGGTATGAGATGACTCTCATTTTGAACTTGAATTGGAATGTCTTTGTTAACTGTGTTTGGACCAGCCTGTTTGATTTGAGAATTTCAATGTAATATGTTGACTCATGACACTTTTGTTTTAATCTTTATCTCTCAATCTTCTTTACTAATACTTTTCCATTTCTTTTTATTTGTCTACTTAAAGGATAATATACTTTTAAAGAGATTAATCAATATTTTTATTTAAATATTTATTTTTAACTTTCTAACATTACATTAATTATTGTCCTAAAATAAACATAATATTATTTATTATTATTATTTTTATAGAAAATGATATTTAATAATTAATTAAAAATAATAGTTAATAGTAATATTTTAGTAACCTCTTAACTTTTTAACAAATTTTAATTATTTTATTATTTTTTTAAAAATAAAAATTATAATAATGATAAAAAAATTTAAATATAAGAACTTGTGTTTATTATCCCAATCTCCAACTCCTAACTTATAAAAATAAGTTAGTTTATAAGTTGTTAATTTTTGTTTTTGTGTTTCTTTTTTATCTTCATTGATTTAGTTAAAATTTACTTTTTACTTCATAACAAAATATGTTTGTTTATGTCATTTTATATTTATTAGTTAATTTATCTTGTAATTTAGTTAAACACTTCCGATTTAATAAGTTAGCTTATAATTTTTCTATTTATCAACTTTTAGCTCTCATAAACATTTAGTTATTTCAATTGTCAGTTTTACCAAATACACTTAAATTAAAATAATAATAATTTCTCCTTACATTCTATGTAGCCGTTAATTTTAACTTTTTATCTTAAAAAGTATTTTTTAATAAAATAAATAATTTTCTATTTTTATGTATTTATTTAATTTTTTTTTCTCTTAAAAACATCAAACTATTTTTTTTAAGAAACAACTCTTATATCTTAAAAAAAATTTCTCTTATTCAGAAGACTTTTATTTTTAATTTTAAATAAACTGATATGTACAATATTCACAAACTCACTATCACCCCAATTTTTTTTAGAGAAATAGGAGAAAATCTTAATCCTTCTAATTGAAGTAAGTTTCTTTTTGGTCAAAATCAAATCTGTGTTGATTGAATGGATATTCACATATTCAGATAGATTTAATGGTGCTTGGTCAAATAATTAATTAATCAATAATTGTACATACTTTTTAATCATAGTATTTTAAAATAAAAAGAAAATAATTTATCACAAAAATTAATATAGTTAATTCTCTTTTTATATGAATTAGGACAAAAGTGTTTTTTTTATTCAATAAGAAACTTTTTTAAATATTATAAATGAAAGCATTTTTAGTTTTGTTTATCTCTTTTAATATTAATTTTATTTTTATTTCTAAATTAAAATCTAATATCAACAGTAACCTTTTATCATAAATTTAAAATATAATTTGTATGGTCACAAATGTTTAATTAATACAAATTCTAATTATAACAGTTTATTATTTAAAACCTATATTTAATATAAATTTTAATTATATAAAATAAATAATTATTTTTTATATAGTACATGTTAAAATATAAGTAATTTTTAAAATATAAAATTACGTTAAATCATAAATAATTTAGAGTAACACAATAAGAGTATACCAAGAATGATTCTACCAAAAACAGAGAGTCTGATTTTCTGCAAATATTATTGATTATTGATTGATAAAATCGATGAAATACTTCACACCAATTATATAATTATATGAATATTTAATACTAATAATATAATTATAAAAAGAAGAAGAAGAAAAAAAGAAAAGAAAGAGTAAACGATAAGCCATATTAAATGATATTAAATTATGAAACAGTGAGTTATAGACTATCCTTGGTACAAAGTTGTAATCGGTCACACATTTACTGCATGTTGTTGGAGATTGTTAATGCCACTGCTCCCTTTTGCTTTTGCAAGGAATCTCTCTCTTTCAAACAAAGATGATATCATCTTTCTCTGAGAATAGTAACAGTTGTTCAGTTCTTATTTCATTCATATCACCAAAATATTCTCCTACATAGAATCTCAACTACAGTATAATAACCAACACAAGATTAAAAATAAAGGAAGTAAAACACATCAGAACCAAAAACTCACCCTCATCAGTCATCACTACACTACAATACACAACAAACAAAGCAAACAAACACCTTCCTTCTCTTACTCTCTCTCTCTCTCTCTTTTTTTTTTTTTGCTTACACGTAAAAAACGCACACTCCTCCACCCACTCATTATTCTAATCTAGTTTTCTGAACTAGTCTTTCTTTCACTCCAACAACAACAACAACCCTTCCTCGTCATAGCACCATTCTCCAAACTCTTTTGTTGCTTGTGTTTCGTGTTTGTTCTTCTTTTGTCTGCATTTGTCCCTCTTCGTTTGAGCCACCACACACACCCTTTTTACAAATATTATTTCTTATTAAAATACCAACAAAAAGAGGGTGGTGGTGGGAGAAGAAAAAGTAGCAAGGCTTCCACTGTACCATTACCAAAGCCACTTTTTGTCTCTTGAAACTCAATTTTTCCTTTTTCTTTTTGTTTTTTCATTGACCACTTGTTAATTCATGAGGGCCTTCTTTATCTAGCTGAAGAAATAAACATGGTTGCTGTGTAGTTCTCAGAATAGTTCAACCCCATCATGGATCTTGAGTCTGTGATCCACAAGAACACAATCAAGGTAAGACTAAGACCTTGTATATCTGCGTGGTGTGTGCGTGTTTCATGTGGTACTTGGAGCTACTCTCACAATCTTTGCTTTATGATTATCAATCACCATATGGGCCATGGTGATTATGTGATTGCAGGAAGAATCATGGAAGACAGTGTTGACTTTGGCTTATCAAAGCTTGGGGGTTGTGTATGGAGACTTGAGCACTTCACCACTTTATGTTTACAAAAGCACTTTTGCGGAGGATATTCAGCATTCTGACACCAATGAAGAAATCTATGGGGTGTTGTCTTTTGTGTTTTGGACACTCACACTGATTCCACTGCTCAAGTATGTGTTCATTGTGCTGAGAGCTGATGACAATGGTGAGGGAGGGACCTTTGCTCTATACTCCTTGCTGTGCCGCCACGCTCGTGTGAGCTTGTTGCCTAACACTCAGCTTGCGGATGAGGACTTGACTGAGTACACCATAGACAATGGGACTGTTCCAATTGATAAGAAAAATGTTGGGTTGGGGTTGAAGACCTTGTTGGAGAAACACAGAGTGCTGCAAAGGGTGCTGCTTGTTCTGGCCTTGATTGGGACTTGCATGGTTATTGGAGATGGTGTCCTCACACCAGCAATTTCTGGTATTTGGATGATACTATTCGGTGATTTTGATTCTAATCAAGGTTTTAAATTGCGGTCGCTGCAATTCTGTTGCAATTTTTATCATTATGAGAAATTGCAGACAAATGCAACTAATGCAACTTTAATTATTATGGGAAATTGCAGACAAATGCACCGATGCAACTTTAATTGTGATCCCAGAAAATCAAAAACCTTGATGTTGCATCGAAAATCGCAGCTGTGGACCGGTTTTTAAAACCTTGGTTGCAAGCACACCAGCAGTGAACATATATCAAGTCTTGGTAACTAACTCACTTTTGTGTGGTTTTTGGTCATTGTGCAGTTTTTTCTGCTGTGTCAGGTTTGGAGCTTTCCATGTCTAAAGAGCAGCACAGATGTAAGTTTGTTTCTAAACACAAACAATTAGTTTTGTTCTCAAATTTATTTCTCTTCTTTTTTCTTCCCCATAAACATTTAAGAGAGTTGTTATGGTGTACCCACATAAATCTAAGACTTTTAATACAGTTGTTTTTGGGGCCAAATGGCCAATAATTGAATGAGTTTGAATACACCAAGAGTGAGAGAGAGAGAAAGAGTTTGTCGATAACAGTAACAAAACTCCTTAAATTTCCTAGCTTGTCATAGAGTTTCTCAACTTTTAATGCAGTACCCGTAATCTAATTTGTGTTTTAAGGGTGGTTAGACTTTAACTACCATGATGGTTATTTTCAGCTAAGCAATGTCTTTTGGATAATTGGATTCAACATGGAGAAAGTCTTCCTTTTTCTTATTCTTATTTTTTTAAGATAAACAATAAGATTCTTTATTCATTCAGTCATCAAATTTTTTATTGCAGATACTATATATCTAGCTTACAGTTGCAGATAAGACTATGATAAAATGTTTTGAATTTGTTCCCCAGAATTCAGCTTTGTTGAGTAGGTTTCAAATCCTTTGGTATCTTGAACAATTCGATCTAGGGAATATATTCCTACAATAATTTAGAAATTTAGAATAATTATCGTTTTGTGTACTATTTTCTAATATGTGATACCACTGAAGTTGTCCTAGCTGGCTCTGCATTCCCTTGGGTTGATAGGATTTTTGCCCCCTCAATGGCATATATGCTGTAAAGATATTAATTAATAGTGGAAGTATTATAGTTGGGCATCACAATAGATTTGTTTAATGCGTGAATAAAATCTTAGTTGAATCATCACAGGACTTCCAGTTAGTGGACAAAAAGGGAGAACCAAAAGACAAGTGCATGCACAATTGTAGGTTCTCATAAATACAAATCAGGGGAAATTTCTTTTCTTTGATTAAATCCAAGTCACTGTCGTGGTAAAACTTGTATTTGAATACGTAATTGATTAGAATAAAAAAAGTACACATGAAAAGCGTGGTTAAGATATAAAGCCTAACCCCACTAGTCAGAAGTTTTAACTATAAAAAAATAGTTCCCTTGTAAAGTTAGACTTTCAAGAGGTTATGATATAAGGCATTATTGTTTGGATGAGAATTCAATAAATCTCTGTGGATCAATCAAGAGCAGTCAACTGATTGAATCTGATTGGATACAAAATTAGGTATGGCCACTATTAGACTGGTCATGAACAGTGTCTGAAATTCCACTATTGTTCATATAAATATTCATTATCGATGGTGCCTCAATTAAATTTAGTCCTAATTCTGTCAACTTCAAAGAATTGAGCTGTTAAAATACTAGAATGAAGTCACCCTAATCATACTTTTGATATTGACCTAACTTTTGCCCTAAATAATTTGACATCTGTATCATTATTCTTGTCTTCAACAGAAAATCATTTGAATCACTGTTAATAACCACTTTAATAACAAATATCTTTTATGCACCTTAATTACTGAATTTACTTTGTGCTCCGTAATTGTCGTCAATTGTTTGTTTTGGTTTCTAGCTCTTACTAGTAGTCATTTTTCTAGAGGGTAATGGTAACACTTGGCTCCTCTAATATGTTCTGATATTTCCACTTGATGATTTATTTACCAGGAAAATTACCACTTGCAAGTTAATTAGTATGCTTTTGATATAACTATCAGTCTCTGCTCCAAGCAATCAAACACTAATTGTAATTTAATGGATAGTGTTCCACTTTTCATTTTCTTTTTTGAGCAAAAAGTCTATGCACCAACTGCATACAATTGTTTTACACAATTTGTTGACAAGTATCGTATAAGTCATACTAATAGTGATTTCCGATTGATTAACTGTGTAAAATTATTTTACATTGATAGTTTATCACCATTAAATCCTATATTTTTATAAACAATGACAATATTAAGGTTTGAACCAAGAGACTGATACAAACTATTCCAACCCAGTCATTAGGCCGAACTCGTAGGTTCTAGTGTTCTTCTATACTATGGTATTTGTTCTTCAACAAACACTAAAACTAGATAAATTCCATGCGTTGTATTTGCCTTTTACTCCTACTATTAAATTGGAGCTAATTATTGGTTAATGGTTATGCAGATGTGGAGGTTCCAGTGGCTTGTGTAATACTGATATTTTTGTTTGCCCTTCAACATTATGGCACTCACCGTGTAGGGTGTCTTTTTGCACCTGTTGTCATGACCTGGCTTCTATGCATCAGTGCTATCGGTGTTTATAACATCTTCCATTGGAATCCACATGTTTATCAAGCTCTCTCTCCTTATTACATGTTCAAATTTCTGAAGAAGACCCAAAAGGGAGGATGGATGTCCTTGGGAGGGATTCTACTGTGTATAACAGGTATGGAGCAATTGTGGCAAATTTTGTACTAAACTGCTTTGTGCTTGACATATGCTTTATCTTTGATATTATCATCTTTGTACTCCAGGTTCAGAAGCCATGTATGCTGATTTAGGACACTTTTCACAATTGTCAATTAAGGTACACGAATGATGTATTCATTACTGAAGACATACATGTCAGCACCATTATGTTAATAATATTTACTTGTACAGTTTTACTTTATTATTAGCTAAATTTTATTTATATAACTATGACCAGAACTTTTTACTTCTTGAAGTTGATTGCACCCTCTCCAAAATGAAACTATACTTTTCATTTGCCGAAATGTACAAGAGCTGAGGTTTTATAACACGTAATTATACATTTATTAAGAAAATTGTGGCTTACTGAGTCTGGCAGAACCAACTTCTTTAAGATCAAAAGTTAAATGCTACATGAGACAAGGTTTGAAACAATAAGAGATTTTATCCGATTAATTATGATTTTAGTCCTTAAACTTTTTTGAAATTTAGTTTTTAGTTCCTAAACAAAAATTTGATTGTTCAAGGTCTCTTAATTTTTTTAGTTAAAGTTTTTAGTTCGTAAACAAAAGATTGACCGGTGAAGGTTTCTAAACTTTCTAAAAACTCGGTTTGTAGTTCCTAAAATCTCATTAAATAGATGAAAATAATGTGTTTCAAACTTTTGCTCAGGGACTAAAAATCATATTTTTAAAAGTTTAGGGACCTTGACAAGTCAAACTTTTGTTCAAAGATTAAAAACTTTTGTTTTGGGACAAAAAACCAAATTTCAGAAAAGTTTAGGGATTAAAAACTTAGTTAACATGCTTGAACCTTATGGTAACCTTTCTACTGATTTTAAAAACTGTTGATTTCATACTATTAATGCATATTATATGCAGAATTCATGGATATAATGCTTTGGTCGATGATTACTTGATTGGAAGCCAAGGGTTGATATGATAATTAACAGTTTTAAGTTTTAACTAAAAGTCATTTACCTGCAGATTGCATTCACCTTTTTGGTATACCCTTCTTTAATCCTAGCATATATGGGACAAGCTGCATATCTTTCTAGACATCATTCCCTTGAAAGTGACTATCGAATTGGGTTCTACGTATCTGTACCTGGTAAGATCTTTGTGATCTTCTATATAAGCACATGTTCAAAGAAAGATTGGTGTTTACTTTTCTTCCGGCTTACTTTCGTTTTTCCTTCTTTTCAGTAAAACTTAGATGGCCAGTTCTTGCAATAGCCATACTTCAAGCTGTGGTTGGAAGTCAAGCTGTCATCACAGGGACTTTCTCAATAATCAAACAATGTTCTGCTTTGGGATGTTTCCCCAAAGTCAAAATCATTCACACGTCATCTAAGATGCATGGCCAGATTTACATTCCTGAAATCAACTGGAGTTTGATGCTACTTTGCCTGGCTATTACAGTTGGATTTAGAGATACAAAACGCATGGGAAATGCAGCAGGTACTCTATCTGCAAGAAATAATCTCATGATCCCTATGAATATGATAACTTAAATTTGATCATGATTGAAGTATTTTTAAATGATCATGATTAAATTTGAAATATTTTTAATGTATGCTCTCACAGTGTAAAGGATGTCATTCAATCAGAAACTGTCATGTATGTAAGTTTGTTGACTTTTATAATATTTGTTTTAAAAGTCATACTAACCATGATTTCAGATTGATTGACAACGTAAACATTTTTATATTCACAATGCATAGAAATCAAACTATTTTTAAACAATTTTTTGTTTTCTTTGCTTTAACAGGTTTGGCTGTCATAACTGTCATGCTGGTGACCACTTGCTTAATGTCTCTAGTTATGGTCTTGTGTTGGCACAAAAGCATTTTGCTAGCAGTATGCTTCATATTGTTCTTTGGCTCTATTGAAGCACTCTATTTCTCTGCATCCCTCATCAAGTTCCTTGAGGGGGCTTGGGTCCCCATTGCCCTCTCCCTCATCTTCCTCATTGCCATGTATGTGTGGCACTATGGCACAATAAAGAAGTATGAGTTTGATGTTCAAAACAAGGTTCCAATCAACTGGCTCCTCAGTTTAGGCCCCTCTCTAGGAATTGTCAGAGTCAAGGGAATTGGCCTAATACACACAGAACTAGTATCTGGGATTCCAGCTATTTTCTCACACTTTGTCACCAATCTCCCTGCCTTCCACCAAGTTGTTATCTTCCTTTGCATCAAATCTGTCCAAGTGCCACATGTTAGACCTCAAGAGAGGTTCTTGGTGGGGAGAGTAGGCCCAAAGGAGTATAGGCTCTACAGGTGCATAGCACGGTATGGCTACAGAGACATTCACAAGGATGACATGGAGTTTGAGAAGGATCTTGTATGCAGCATAGCTGAATTCATCAGATCAGACACCTCAGAATATGGCTTAGGACTTGGGGGAGGTTTTGAAGAAGATACAAAGATGACAGTTGTTGGAACTTTAGCATCAAACATAGAGGGTGTAATAAGGATGTCTTCTGAGGATTATGAACAAGAAGATTCTCAAATGGAAGGCCCTTCTTCAGAATTGATAGAGGTTAAGTCTCCTGAGAAAGTGAGAAAAAGAGTGAGGTTTGTTGTGCCAGATAGTCCACAAATTGATCTGGATGCAAGGGAGGAGCTGCTTGAGCTAATGGAAGCAAAAGAGGCTGGAATGGCATTCATATTGAGTCACTCTTATGTTAGAGCAAAAAGTGGATCAAGTTGGATAAAACAAGTTGTTATCAATTATGGGTATGATTTCTTAAGGAGAAACTCTAGAGGGCCAACATATGCTTTGAGTATACCACATGCATCCACCTTAGAGGTGGGAATGATCTATCATGTATGAACGAGTTTTGGCTAGAGTTATAATATTATATCTAGTTTAGTTTTGTAACTAGTGATATTGTATGGTAGGTCAACCTTACACATGATAAATATGGTGGCATTTTGTACAGTGACACCCTCCAAGCTTCTTGACAAGTGCTGCATGCCGACCTGTCGTATTCACCTTTCGTTTTTGTATTTTTCTTGGTACATAAATAAGCTGTGTCTGTAGGGACTAGTTCCCAAAATGTCTACCAAGCTCTATCTTGTCGTCTTGTTCTAGCATGAATCTGAAATGTAGATCATGTTCAAGATTTCCAACAGATAATGTAACGAGTCTTTTGAATGAAAAGAAGAAAACCCAATGGATTAATATCTTTGATATATAGTTTGATAGTGTATCTTCAAATATCACAAATTTTGGCTTTAGTTTCTGCAAGATATTTTTGTTCATTTTAGTTTTTGTAAATCTTAAAAGTTTTAAAATAATTCTTATTATTCTATCTAATACAAATATGACATGCATTTATAGATAAAATGAGGACATGTCACGTCATTATTTCAAAGTGATTAATGATATGATGATATCTGAATACAAGTCACGACACCACTAAATAATAATAAAGATCATTTAAAAGAAAATACATGTGATGGAAATATTTTATGAGGTTATTTTTTTATAAGGTTATTATTTCACACACAATTTTATAACGATGAGATATTATCCACTTTAGACCTAAGTCCTCACGATTTTGTTTTTGGTTATCACTCAAAAGACTGCTCTATCATTGGAATATAAGTATGTTTTATAAGTTGTTATTTTTTCTCTTATTTTATCGATGTGAGACTTGTTTGTATCCCAACAATTCTTCCCTCAAATAAAGGACCTAACCTATCATAGCAGAATCTGTCTATCACATTATATGTTATGAGTTATGAGGGTCGTTACCGCATCCAATCTTGCGGCTTTGATACCAATAATGAAGTTATTTTATAGTATTTGTTTGAAGGAATATTTTATAAAAATTATTTTTATATGATCTAATTTTATTCATGAATCTTTATTTATAAAGAAAATTTGTTATATAAAATCAAATATTGATATTATCCTATTCTAAAAATAAGAAAAAAAATTCTAAAATAACCAAAAACAAATTAAATCTAAATATTTAAAATATTAGTAAAATATTTTTATAAAAAAATTAATTTATTCTTCTAAAGATATTTAGACATTCTAAACAATAAGAACCAAAACTATAAATATATATATATATATATATACACGTATGTGGTAATATCAAGTCCTGTATATTGTTATTATCTCAATTATGCTGTAATAATTTGATGCAGAAGTAGCATCCTTGTTTTGTCTGTATTTGATTGATGATATATTAAGGTAAAAAAGAGGGAAAAAAAAAGAATTAATAGTCTTAAAATACTATTTTACAACAGAAGAATACCACTTTATTTTTATGAAAATGGATTCGAAGGAAAGAAGATATGGGACCATCTGTTTGAGATATGAAAGCAAAATACTATTTAAAGGAAATCACTTGGTATATGAAGAGTGAACAGTTTTAAGAGTTATATACTCATGTCTTAATATTTCAAATTCTAAAGGGACAAATTTTACTACATCCAACTGTTAATGTCCCAATAAATCTCTATTTATTAGTTGACAAGCAATGCATGCACGTACGTATTCGGGTGCAGCTCATGTGCAGAGGATATGTAAACATTGCTGATTGCTCTCGAACCTATAGTTATTAGTTAATTATTTCTCTCTTTTGGTTACATAAATCTAATGGTAAGTTTGATTCGTGGAAGAAAATTAAAAGAAAAAAAATAGAAGTGTAATGATATTTTAAATTATTCATTAAAAAAGTAAATCAAAATTAGTGAAATTATACCCTCAATCACTTTTTATAGAATTCAAATTTAATTTATGTAACTGTTGACTTAATTATAAAATTTTAAAAAGATTAAGAACTCGATTAAAATTTTTTATTTTTTAAACAGTCTTTAATTACAAATTTTATAATTTAGAAATTTTTAATAAAATATAAAAAAAGTTTAAGAACCTGCTGATGTATTAAACACACATAGAACATTTGCAGTGAAGGTTACTTATAAGCAACCCCTGTGCCACATCAGGTATTTTCATTGTTTATGAGTTGCTTAAATTTTAGGAAAGTTGCTTGTAAAACTCCCGTGCTTAAAAAGAAGTAGAAAAAAATTTATGTAGCATGATATGGTAAGCAACTCCCACTGCAATGCTCTTACTTATTTAAAAAAAATCAATAAAGTTAAGGAACTCACTGAAGTATTAAAATCAGACACATATCAAGTTTTATTTTATTTTTAAGCCTGTTATAAGCAGTTAACTGCTATATTGAATGAGGGCTTATTTGTGGTTCGACTAATTGTACGTGAGTAGCCTTTTTTCTTGCAAAAATAACTTGTATTTGATTACTGATGGACTTTGTTATTCATAAATTTATATTGTGAAAACGGGTTTTTTTTTTCAGCAGAAGATAACAAGATTTTTAAAGATAGCCCATTTAATAATTTATATAAAAAGCCCATGTAGTAGCCTGATTGGTTTAGGACCAAACATACGTGGACGACATCCATTTTCAGAATTTTAATTTTGTTTCATTTTATTTTGTTACATAATGCTTAGATTAAGATAAGAGATGATTGGTAAAAATCAATCATTAACCTTTTTTGTGATTTCGAGTGAAATTATGAATTGCTTATTTCATTCAAACACAAGTCTACATAAAAGATTACAAAACATAATGATATAAAATATGGAACGCTAACCTCTTTAGTAATTTTGTTTCATTCAAAATGATTTTTTATTATTGCAAATAAAGAATTAATTTTGAGATAAGTAAAAATGTTTAGTTTTTATTGATAAGAATTAAATTTTAGAAGTAGAAATGTAAAATATTTTTATATATTAAAAATATTCTTTTAACATCATTCTTTTTTTCAAAAGACTACTATCAAATTTTGATTAGACCACTTCACAATTATCAAATTATGAAGCTAAAATGAAAATGATGGGTAAAAATTTCACAAATGGTGAACTTAATAAAGTTGCTCTTCTTACATTTTTTTTTTAATTAGAAGAAAACAAGCACCTTGTAGACATGTGGTTTAATTTTGTAACGGTTTGCAATGATAATTATTTTAGGTTAGGAATCTTAGGAGTTTACTAGCATAGAATCTAGATAGTTGTTCTTTTTTTTTTTTATTTTTTATACATTTATATTTTATAACCTAACATTACTTAAAGCCACACAAGATCAATTCATTTAGCTTTGTTTTAATTAAGTGGCAATTTTTTTTAACTAACTATAACTTGATCAAACAATATCTTTGATTCAATTTTTAAGCAAAAGCTTAAACTGAAAATATTGTACCTAACGCGGGTTTGATAGTTCTTTAACAATTTTTTCCCCTAAAGAAAAGAAAGGGAACTCTTAGATTCCTAAAGAAATTTGGCAATGGCATTTGGGAATCTTAAGAAAGATGATGTTCTTCATTTCTTAGTTTTTCTCTCTTTATCTTTTTCTTTGTTTACTAATCCATAACCTCTCTTAGTTTCTGAGAACTTTTACTTTGTATTTTCTGTCTCTGCGGTTGCTTCTTATTTATTATTCTTTTCATAAATACGCTTTAATGATGCTTATCATCTCACCAGATGGATCAATCACAACTTTGACATACACTTACGTTCAATCATGAATGATTTTTTTTTTGTAATGAAAATCGTGTCTATGATTTAAAAACTCGACGAGGAATGCAAGTTAGGTATTGAAGGTAAACATTCAAAAGAAAAAAAGTGCATGAATACCTTCGTTGAATCACAACTTTGATGATTTTTATAATAATTACAATTGTTTAACGTATCTTAAATAAAAAGCTGAGGTTAAACAATTTTATAACTAAGTGATTGATGTAATTAATTATCAACTTTAACACAATTGGTGTATTTTTTTTAATTGTACTAATATTTTTGATATGGTTATTTAACTTATTAACCTCGTATTTACTTGATATATAAAGTTAGGCAACCATATAATAATCATCTTAACGAGTCGTGTAAAATATTTTTGTTTTATTAACTAACATAATAAAATACACATATTGAAAGAAAATAAGCTTAATATTAAGATAACTAAAATTATTCACAGTTATCTTATGTTTTTTTTAATACAATTATAATATTGATATGAAATATTCATTTTTAAAATAGTGACTAAATGAATATTTCACTCCCAATCATATTTAAAATTTGGAAAAATTGCACTCATCTTTAATTAAATCTTTTTAAATGACACACACCCTTTCTAATTTTCAAGTAAATATTAACATACATACAACACTTTATATAAGATAATACTATTTGTTATTAAGAAAGAATAAATTATTAATAAGGTGTTAACAATTGAATAGACTCAATTTTTTACTTAATTTTAATTCTTAAATTATATCTTAAATATTATATATGTTGTGATTTAAATAATATACCAATTTCAAGGAACAATATCAAAGAATGAACCCAAAAATTATTATTTTTAAATTTAAAAAACAATAAAAATTTTCATAAAGAAACAAATGATATATTAACAAACTATGAATTAACTTTTATTTTCCCGACTTCTCTCACTTTAACTAATAACGTTATTTTAAGGGAAGTAAGTAATTTTTAAAAATTAAAAAAAATGTTTCTCATTTAAATAAATGTAAGAAGAAGTTAATGTAATTTTTCCTTAAAACTTTGTAGAATTTAATTAAAAGATATAAATCGTTACGTGCTTTGGGTTATTATATTTTGGTTAGAGAAGTAGGTAAACAGCAAAAGCAATGGAGCCTCTAATTCTGCATGCGCGGGTATTATAGCACCGAATTCATTCAAAATGATGATGCACCAAAAGGATTCACTCTCATGATTCGTAATAGTTACAAGTAGCGTAACTTTCACGATATTTGACTAAAAAACCAACTTCAGTGCTTATTTTGACCCCAAAGACAAAAATAAAATGAAAAGAATGAAAATCAGATTCGAAGAACTTGTAAAAGAAAATTCCTAAAATGACAGCACACATTAACAAAAGCATCAACCTCTTCTTAATATTGAATAGGAAATCTAACAAAAGAAGCACATGATTAGCAAGGTGACATTCATGTAAGAAAAAGATATCTTGAAAATTAAAAAAAAAAAAAAAAAAAAAGAGAGAGAGAGAAAAAAGAAAAGAGGAAGTTATCTCTTGCTTTGGTGTTTGTAATTAATTTGATGGAACTCTCTTTCATGCTCATTGGGGCACACAATACTCAGTATTGGATCCATAACTAGTTTGTTTGTTAACTTACACTTCAATCATCTAAGAATAATATGGCTTAGTTGCAACGCATGTAGTTAAGACATGAAAACAAACAAAGGAATGAATTTGCGGTGGTTTATGCATTGATTTAAGACAAATTATAATTTTGTATGTCAAATGCTTGGTTTGGAATCATCCTAAGGGAACATACATGGACATTCAAGTGTGAAACATGTTTGATCAAATCTATTTAAGCCTATTCTTGGCCATATTGAATCTTGAGGATTTGTTTTTAGTTAGTTATTATCATTATCATATCTTCATAAATTACACCACCATTATTAATATAAGATGTTTCATTATTATTTGAGTTAATAGAGTCAAATCATTAATAAAATATGATAATATAATCTTTAAGTATTCAAAATTTGATAGTATTATCATAATTCTTGATATTATAAGAAATTGTAGATAAATATAACTAATGTGATTAGAATTACGATTTTAAACACTTTAAAAACTTTGAAATTGTAACTGAAATTACACAAATTACTTTTTAGAACCTTGACAATTCTTATTCAAAAAATTTAACCTTTTTTTTTTATAAGAATTTAATGATAGTGCAACCATCATTCAATCATATATCAATGCTAATATGACTTTTGACTTGTCTATTAATAATTTATCATAAATGATAATTTGTGAATAATGACAATGTAGAATTATCTTGACACATCATATATGGTACAGAAATTATCTCACATGAATCTACAAATTTATACAAGTACTTAATGAAAAAAAAAATGGTATGTGATGTGTCACTTGCATACCCTTGGTAGTGGAACCAAAGTTGAAATGAGAAACTTGTATAAACACAAGCTTTGTGGAACCCCCTTGTCGGATAGAGTTATAAGGACACGACAATCAAAAAACACAAATCCATATGATTCCATTTCACTATCAGTTCTAAATTCTGTCTCCTCTGCCTCTCTGCTAAGTCTCTGTCATCACTACAAGTCTTGTTTGTGCCTCTATCTTCCGTAATCCTTACTTTATCTGAAAAGGGTGGGAACTGATTTCATTTCATGTGAAGAACAATAGAAAATGCATAGCTTATATTAGACATTCATTATGAGTCATGTATGAGTATTTCACATTTGGGTGCTCTTAACTGAGGGAAAGGAACAATGAGAAGGAATTGTTGTGTGCTGCTTTTTGCTTTTGTACTAGTGCTTTGTCTCTTCTCTCCAACTTCAGCCACACCACCTGCAAGTGAGTGCAACATGCTCTAAAGTCTAAACCATGTTCTTTATGAGTTAAATTTTCTTCTTCATGAGTTGAATTTCATGTGACATGCAGAGGTTGTTACTGGGGTTGTTTCCAATGTGGTTTCTGCTCTTCTTAAATGGCTATGGTCACTAAGTGTGAAGTCCACAGCCAAACCCGGTAGAGGTAGAGATCTTTCATTGAGCTATCGTTTTTCTGTTTCTCATGTTGGTGGAATTGAATTGCCTTTTCAAAGTGCTAACATGGTCTTTCATAATGGGGAAAAATTTCTCAGTGCAACACACTCGCTCCATGGTTAAATTTGAGAGTGGCTACACTGTGGAGACAATATTCGATGGAAGTAAGCTTGGAATTGAGCCACACTCGGTGAAAATATCACCGAATGGTGAATTTCTGGTGCTGGATTCTGAGAATAGTAACATCTACAAGATCTCTGGTTCAATGTCTCGATGTAAGCTTCGTTTGCTGAATTTTTTTTTCTTTTTAACCATGTTATAGTTGCAAAATATCTACTGATTTTACAATAACTAATCTAGTTGATCACCTTTAACGAGTTTCCTCTTTCCAATCATTTTTTATTTTCTATCTGCTTAAGCTTGATTATATCTTTTAAAGTAAATGGTATATGTATTGATAGTGTAAAAAGATTTTAGAATATCATCCGATCACAATTTACATATATAATAAGTTTATTAACTTTTACTGTGGTATCTTAAAAGTCATATTTATCATAAACTCTTATAATGTAAATTACAATGACATAACACAAATAAACTCTTTTTTTAAAATCACATTCTTCTTTAGTTGTTCTTGGTTGGCATATTGATTTGTATAGAAGTTTCTAGTTCTTTGGCATTGTGGCTTTCCTTTTCTTCATTATGCCAAAATACTAGATTCAAAATTCAAGCATTTTCCTTTAAGAATGTTTTCTGTTTGAGTTTTACCTTGTACATAGGCTTTGCTTCATTCACGGGCCATCTTTTGATTCTACTGAGCTGTTGTAAAGATTCTTAATGAACTTTTGTTACGCTCAAGCCTCCACTTTTTAAGGTACAGCATACCTTTAGTCACCCCCCAAAAAAAAGTATAATATGCCTGCATGATAATTTGCGGACTTACTTTCAAATAAATAAGGAAAACATGGAGAATAAAAAAGATACAAATCCTAAAACATAGAACACCTATTTGGCTTCTTTACCCCACTATAATCCTTTACCCTTTTTGTTGGTTCTTTACCCCACTATAATCCTAAATGTCACATCAATTTTAATTTAATTCTGTAACCAAGCTTCTTGAAAACAACTACACCATCTGTTAGTTAAAAAAAAAAAATATACAGAGACAAACACTGGCATACACACACACATTGGCTTCTGAGTTACATTTGTTTCAGCTTGTTGACATGATTACTTAGACTTTCTCGGAGGTTTCCTAGTGCAAAGGAGAACAATGAACATGCAAGTGTCTGACTGAGTACTGAATCTTTGGATTGCGTGACAGTGAATATGACTACATAAAACATTGCAAACTATGTCCTCATTGACATTTAAGAAGTAACTTAAGCTTCTTTCAAAATAAGTCAAACTCTTGCATGTAAAAAATTCAAGCCTAGTTTATTGAAATCCAAGAGAAATTCCGTACTATCTTTATTGATGATATATGATATGATAGATAATTTATAAACAAAATCCTATGGATTTGAGATTTTCTCTCTTTTGAGTGCCCTCCAGAATGATTTCCTGTTTTGTTTGATTTTGCTGTGATGACTGCATGAAATGAAACACAGATAGCAGACCCAAATTGCTTGCTGGATCATCTGAAGGGTACATTGGACACATAGATGGGAGGCCCAGAGAAGCTAGATTGAACCACCCTAAAGGGCTTACAGTGGATGACAGAGGGAATATTTACATAGCAGACACATTGAATATGGCCATCAGAAAGATCAGTGATGAAGGTATATAATGGAATTCCTTGGACTCTGAACCTGTTTAGGATGAAAGAATGAACCAATATGCTGAAATTCTAAAAATACCAAGACCATCTTGTTTTCTCCTCTGCATAATTATGATATCATTAACCACCTTATTTTCCTCTCCCAATAGATTCCATCTTTCTGCATTTTCTGAGAGCAGAAGAAATGTGATTAATTTACCACAGAGAAATGTTAACACTACACTCCTTTTAACACTTTCTACTATTGATTAAAATTTATTAAAAATCGTAAAATTTTGTGTAACACACTTCTTGTTTAATGAGTCTTTTAATAAATTTTAATCATAAGTAAAGAGTTTGTTAGAAGGAATATTTTAGTGTATTGCTAGAACTCTTCATTTATCAAACTACTTAACTAAATGATATGCCTTTTGTACAGGGGTTACCACCATTGCAGGTGGAAAAAGGGGCCTTGTTGGAGGCCATGTTGACGGTCCAAGTGAGGATGCTAAGTTTTCAAATGATTTTGATGTAGTTTATGTTGGTAGTAGTTGCTCTCTTTTGGTTGTGGATAGAGGAAACCATGCAATCCGAGAGATCCAACTCCATCAAGATGACTGCACTACTTATGATGAAGATGACAATAGTTTCAACTTAGGTATGATCCACATCTAATATAATATCCTATATCTTTATTTATTTATTTATTTTTACTATTTTAGAGCATGTTGATCTCCAAGAGTTTTGCATTAACATTATAGGAATAGTGGTGCTCGTTGCTGCTGCATTCTTTGGCTATATGTTGGCATTGCTGCAGTGGAGAATGAGGGCCATGTTTTCTACTCCGGATGTAAGTACATGTTGTCCTGAACCATTGTCACAAGTTTGAAAATCTATAAATTAAATTTCAAAACAACATTGGGTTTTGAGGTATCAATATCTTCCTTGGCCCAATTCCTAAATAACCACTTGTATCCTAAAGTTGAATGTTTATGTATTCTTGATCACAGAACAGAAAACATATGTTTATTAAATGTATAGTACAACTCGGTATAAAAATAGGATTGGTTGGATAATTTTCTGTATGAACACTTGCACAAGAAGAAATTAAGAGAAAATGAAATAAACTTTTTTATTTGATAAAATTAACTTATGTAAAAGTTAAATATTTGGTTTCGGAGAAACTAATGAAAGTTTCTATAAAAATTAGCTTTTGGAGAAACTCAATTCATTTTTTCTTATTTATTTCTTTAATAATTGCTTACAAAGAAGTTTATCTCAACGGACTTTAAGTGATGCATGCTCTCACAATATAAGTGTTTTAAAGTATTCAATCACAAACTCGTATAATAAATTTGTTGACTTAAACATACTAAAAATAATTTCTGATTAGTTGAGAATATTTAAACTTCTATACTAACAATAACTCATAGTATAAACTGACAAATATCATAATCATATTTCATTGTCAGGATCCAAGAGGTCCTTCAAGGAAGAAAGGCACACCATATGCAGCACAGCAGATGCAAAGGCCTCCTCCCCCTCCTCCTACCAAGTCAGTGAGGCCTCCTTTGATTCCAAATGAAGATGAATTTGAGAAACAAGATGAGGGCTTCTTTGTTTCTCTTGGAAGGCTAGTCCTGAACTCTGGCTCATGCATGGGTGAAATCTTGGGGGGCTTGTTCTCAGGATCCAAAAGGAAGCCACAACTTCAATATCATCAATATCAGTATGCAAACAGACATCATCCTAATACATGGCCAATGCAAGAGAGTTTTGTCATCCCAGATGAAGATGAACCACCTTCTATAGAAACTAGAACACCAACACCAAGGGAAAACTACCCTATCATGACCAAAGAGTTGGAAAAACCACAGCACTTCAAGCCAACTAGGGCTTACTTGAACAGGTGGGAGGGTGGTGAATATGAAGAACATCATCAACAACTTCATCATCCACAACAACAGCATCCTAAGTTGCAACACCAACAGCACCAACAGGTGAAACTCCAACAGCAACACCAAGTTCACACCCGTTATTCTTCCACCACCCCTCAAAGTTATTATGAGCAGAACTGTGAGACAAATGAGATTGTGTTTGGTGCAGTTCAAGAGCATGATGGAAGACGTGAAGCCATGGTGATAAAGGCTGTGGATTATGGGGATCCAAAGTTCAGCCACCACAATATCCGCCCAAGATTGAACTATGTTGGTTACTCTCATCAGTCTCATGGTTATTGAAGATTAGTGATGATTTCATAGCATCAAAGTGGCAAAGGGCATGCATGGACTATGATCAAATACGAAGAGAGAGTGAGTCTTACACTCTTAGTTTATATTCTCTGCTGGACAGGACACGTCCCAAATGAAAATCATAAAAGAGATGAAAGATAGGGAGAGGAATGCTGTAAAATAGATGAGTACTAATGCTGGTGTGCAATCTTCACTAAAATTGTATTTTAATTTACAATTTGATTAGATGAATTATTATAAAATAAAAAAAAGAAGAAGAAGAAGAAGAAGAAGTAGGATACTAGGATTTATAAGGGAAATAAAATTAGATTTGCATCTACTTATTTTGTTCCTAATAAATCAAAAGGCAAAGGAATCAAGTGTGACACCCTTACTACCCCAACACATATATAATATAGCCACAATTCATGATCATCTAACTAGATGATTAATCTGAATAGCAATTAGAAGCTCATGTTCTTAGAGCTATTAGTTTAACAAAAATAATGGAAACATCCAAAGTGAGCTTAACCAAATAATACCAAGAATATAGATGCATGTCTTTATGCACTTGAATGAAAAGTTCATGTTATCACTCATCTTTTAAAGTCCAATATCTATTTTCTCAAGCAACATTTGAATAAACCATCGATTTAGTAGCTCAAGTATCTCACTCCTAAATTTGAGACAAATTTGGTAGATTTTTCAAAACTTGATGGACTACTTAATGATTTCTAATATCTAAGGATTGGGGGATTAATTATATAATTTTCATAATTTAAGGATCACTCAGTAGTGGAGAGAGTAATACTTTAGGAATGAAATTGAGGGTCAACTCAATATATTCCTCAACAGAGAACATCCTAAAGGCAACATTCACATTCTTAGGCAGTCTCTTTCAGCTAAAACATGGGAAAACAAGGAAAACATCAAATTAACCATATCATTTCATCATTTGTTATTTCTATTCAGAGGTAAATGTAATACGAAAAATAGAGAAAAATACCTTACCACAGAATCAATCCTACTTCTTCCAACAGAGAACAACACATTGATTCTTAACTTCAACACAAGAACTTCTTAAGCACAGCAGAAATAGCTAGACAACAATTGTATAGAACAATGAACCAATAAGATATCTCGCTCACATCCTTAATTCAATGAACAATATGAGAGAATCAAAAGATGCTGGTAACTCAAAATTAAAAATCGTAAAACTTACTTTAACGTTTTGATAACAAGGTCAAATGATTATGTGGCTTCCGATTTTGAAGAGTAAGAGAGTAGAATGAGAGATGAAAAGAACTAGGTATATGAGTGTTTGTAGCTTCTGAATGTGAAGAATAAGAGAGTAGAAGGAGAGAATGTTGCCATTGCTTAGTCTTCCAATTTTTTGATTTTTGTACTCTGTTTTTCTCTCTTGGTGCAGAAAAGCAAGTATTTAATCGATCTTTTGTTTTAGGAATTGCAAGTTTTTGCCAGATTAAGCAAGTATTTTTTTTTAAATAATAAAATATATTTTAAATAAAAACTAGTTATTATTTAAAATTAGTAAATAAGTAAATAATAGTAAAATATATTATTAAAAATGTTTAAAATGTTAGATAAATTAGTAATATTTAGTGTAGTAAAAAAAAAAATATAATTTAAATAAAACAATAACATTTATGATTAAAAATGTTACTAAAGAGTATAATTCAAATTAATTGGTAACATTTATTGTTAAAAATGTTACAAAAATATATAATTAAGAGAAATTAGTAACATTTTATTACATGTTGGCAGATAAATGTTACTAAATGTGATATATGTAGTAGTGACAACCAGCCCGTTTAGCCCACCAACCCGTGGTGGGCCGGGCCGGGCCAGGCCGGGTTACCCGTTTTGACAGCTCTAGTATTTCTTGAGATCTGTGAGGCATACTGTAGTGTGAAAGGTCGCCACAAAGCACCTTCTCCATATTTGAAGATTCAATAGAGCTCGTTCAAGAGGTATTTCAGTCAATCTTCTTCTCTTCCTTTTATTCCTCATCTTTATCACTTTTTGTGTTATAATAAACGTCATAATGTAAATATTTTAGGGTTAATCGCTTAATTTATATTTTAAGCATGTAAATAGTTATTAATAAAGGGATCTAATATTTAATTTATTAATTCTTATCATGTTAACTTCATCATAGGGTACCGATTGAGGGCGCTGTAGGGGTGCTTAATACCTTCCCTATACATAACCGACCCCCGAACCCAATTCTGGTTATCAAGGCCATTATTGGATTCCCTTTTAAAAATCTTTTCTTTTTCCAATGTTTTGAGTAAAATATTGGTGGCGACTCAATGAACCTATTTTTAAAACCATTAATTAAGGATTAGTCTGGTGTCCGGGCATTCCTTAATTGATGAGATTTTCAAAAGGATGTCTAAACCATTAGTCGCGAGATCGGAAATTTTTGAGTTGTATTTAAGAGAAATCAAAATAGCACAAAGCCAAATAAAATAAAAAAATCAACAAGAAAAGAAAAAAATGTGAATATGCAATCTCATCAGTAATTTATTATGTATTATTATTAAATTTAATTGATGTAATATACATTTGTCAGATATATTATTTTTCATTTCAATCTATATACATTCAAAACATGTTATTGAAGTCAAATACACAAAATTAATATAATATTCAACATATACATAAAATATTTTATAAATATATGAACAAGCATATTTTTCCTTTATTGTCGTTTATTGTATTTATAAATTATAATATAGTATTTGTAAAAATTAAAAATAAAGTAATATATTCCTTATATAGTAAAATTTATTTACTTATTAAACATTATATATAATTAACATTGGTATTACTAAAAAAAATATTATACTTTTAAATATAATAAATATAATATTTTTATCAAATATTTTTTTTCCATAAAAATATAAAAACATTCAAAATAAATTATTAAATTAAAATACACAAAATTAATATAATCTTTAAAATTATAATATATATATATATATATATATATATGAATAAGCAGATTCTTACCTTATATATTATTACTTATTGTATTTATTGATGATAATATAGTATTAATAAAGATAAAAATAAAGTTATATCTTCTTTATATAGTAAAATTTATTTACGTATTAAGCACCATATATAATTAACATTGATAATACTAGAAAATATTATATTTATTAAATATATTACTTTTCATATTAATCTATATAAATTTAAATTATATGATTAAATTAAAATACACAAATACACAAAACTAATACAATATTTAATGTTATTAATATAATATTTTTTAAAATATATGAATGAACAAGTTTTTTTTTCTTTGTATAATATTATTTATTGAATTTATTAGATATAATATAGTATTTACAAAAGTAAAACATTTCTTCTTTGTATAGTATTAATTAATTTTTTTTAAATATAGTATATTATTTACTTTAATAACACTATAAAATATCATATTTATTAAATTTAATAAATATAATATATAATTTATTAAATATTTTTTTATATTAATCTATGTACCTTCAAAATATATTATTAAAGTAAACTATACCAAAACACAAAAGTTAAAATGATATTTAATGTTATTAATAAATTAATAACATATTTTATAAATTTGTGAATAAGTAGATTTGTTTCTTTTTATATTGTTATTTGTTAATTTTATTAAAAAATTGTAAAATAAAAATAAAGTGATATCATTCTAATGTGGTATTAATTAATTTATAATTTAAAATGTAAAAATAATAATTAAAATGTGTGAAATTTGTGGACTTATATGCAATAGTACTAAATAAGTACTATTATGTGACAATTGAATTCTACCCATATCATTGATTGATAGGCCAGAAAGAACATATTAACTATGTATCCCAGGAAAAACCAAATAGATATTAAAATTACATCATTAAAACATAAATTAACTAATGAAGGCTCTTTTAACTTAATTAGAGCTCTCAACTTCAACGTTCTATGAAGATAGTTATATTAAAATCTTTAAAGGAAATTATTGTAATTTATAGTAATCTTCAATCTTGGTAAGTCTAATGCTTTGGTTATGTTTAGTTTCATTATTTACGAGTTAAAAGTTTCTTTAAAGTTAAAGTCAAAAATAAAAATTTTAGGCCTTGAATATGTTTTTGTCTTTTAAAATTAATGAGTTAATTTTTAATTCCTCACAATTTTTTTCAAACACTTTGTCCGTATATGATGAAGACCAAAACACTTTTAAAGACCATTTGAGGTTTTCAAGAAATTCATGATACTAATATCACATCTAACATTCTTTCTAAATAAATTAATAAAAGGTTTTAAGTAAGAGGATTTCTAAAAAATAATTGAGTTATTTTATTTAAGAGAAAATTATACTCACCTCTCCTAAGATTTGATTAAATGATACACATTTTTTTTTCTAGATTTTAAAAATTATCCACCTTCTTAGAATAAGATCATTAGTTAAAATAAGAGAAAAATTAAAAATATAAAAACCAATTCATATTCTACCAATTATATAAGCGTCTATCTTTTATTTTTTTAATAACATACAATGATTTTTTTATATGAAATTTTCTATTGTTATTCAATTTTGAAAATAATAATTTCTTAGTCCGTTCTTTGAAATTGGTATATTTTTTAAATCACGACACGCATGATATTTAAAATATAATTTGAGATTTAAAGTAGGATAAGAGATTAAGCCTCATTCAATTGTTGACACTTGTATTAATAATTTATTATCTGTTAATAGTGCACAAATGGTGTTATAATTTATAAGGGGTTGTATGTATTACTTAGATAAATAAATAAGGAAGGTTAGTGTTGACTTAAAAACTAGAAAGAAGATGTGTGTTATTTAAAAAGACCTCAAGGGAGGTTAGTGTAATTTTTCATGTATTTAGTTATATGTGTTTTAATTAATTATTTAAGTGTATTTGAAGAAAAAAAAAATGTATTTTATATTATGGGTTATTTAATTATGTTTTGAAAAGAAAATAAGAAAAGGAATATTTTTTTTATAAATAAGAGTTTTTAACATAGACGGTTTACGCTTCTTATTTTCACGCTTGCGCTCTTCTCTTTGTTCTATAAAGAAACTGAAAAATTGTTTGAAGATTAGAAAGGTGACTACCTCAAATACTTATGTTTGTTTGTGAGTATTTATCAATATAAGGTGGAGTGAATAATCTTGCTCTTAAGTGTGAGTTATATGCTAGGTAGAGAGATATTGTCCTCCAATCCTAAATTC